TGCTTTTATCCTGTATTTTAGGGTTTTGAGGGCACTCCCTTTTTGGGGTTGCTGCCTGATAGGTTAATTGGCGCTGTCTCTTTCTTTTATTTATTTACTGTCCATAAGTCTGCCTGTCAGTTCATCCATCCATCTGTCAGTCCATCCATACATCCATCTTGTTCTTTTAGACTAATTTTAACAACAAATGCCATTTTATTTCTCTTTGGCAGTTGATTATATTTATACATAGTTTGCCAATCTGACTTAACATCCATCACTCACACATACCTGACTAGGTGTTCGTTTTTTGTTATTGTCTCACTGAAACAAGCTCTGCCTCATTGCAAATCAATATTATTCTACTACAATGAAGCAGATGGTAAATTGTAGATGGCAAGATATTATCTTGCGATGTGCAAGACAATACCTTATTTCCAAAGCCACCACTACTGATAGCGTGGGAAATAATGAAACCTAACGGCGGATTCTCCATCTTTTGTCAAGTTTTGACAAGTTAGGCATTTACCACAAGACAAAGTAGTCCCTCTACAATTTATGTTATCTTTTTACAGCATCCTTTAAATATGTATCCTTACTTCTAGCTTTTGATACAATATTTATCCTTACTTCTAGCATCTGACAATCTATTTTCACCATATAATGGATCTATCTTTAATTGAGCTATTAAAGGTGTATACATCTTCCCCTCATTTATTCACTGAAAATTGTTATCATTTATTACAGTTTACCATACTTTATAGTTGCCTGTCTACTAAAAGACAATAAATATGAAGTAATAAGGTATCCTGGATCATATGAAGAACAAAATTAAATCAATAAATTAAAACTTAAAATTCAGTACTTAAGTAAGGTATTGCTTTAGTTGTTGAATTATGTATTCAATTGTTGGATTTCCAGATACCAGCATCCTCCAACTGTTATTTTGGTGTATTTTAGAAAATCTGACATTGAAGTTTATAAATAGGCTGCAAAAGACATCATACTCTTTACATGTACTACCCTTTTTGTCTCTAAGGTTAAGAAATATTACATTAGATATTCAGAGTATAGTAGGTAGAGTATGCTACCTTTAGTATACCTACAATCTTAATTGTATTACTGACAGGAGGTGAATATTTTGCCGAAGCCTCTCTTGACTAAAACTCCAAAGCAGCACAAGTAAACCAAGGGAAATAACAGAAATATCAGAAAACATTAAAGCAAATATATGTACCATGTTCCTCTAGCACCTTCTTTTTCAAGTTGCGTACAACAAACAGTACAGAGAACATGCCCCATAAACTAACATTCAACATATATTTATGTTATATACCATTATATATTAGACATGTGCAATTCAATTAGTTACGAATGTAAATTCGGCCGAATTTCGGCAATTCAGACATTCTAATGCTTCCAAATGTTCGAATTGCTGAATTTCCTAAATGCCAAATTTCAGAAGTGCCAAACCGAATTGCAAAAGTGCCGAATTGCCGAATTAACTAATTGCCGAAGTGCTGAGTTTCGGAAGAACCGAACCAAAGTGCTGAATTTCGGAAGTGCCGTAGTGCTTTGGATTTTGTAAAAGTGGCAAAACAAGAGAGGGAGGGAAAATTATGTGAATGATGACAGGAATCTAGACCAATAAGCTAATTCCTGGCACTGGGATTCCTATAGATGTGTAAGTGGTTCTGGTGGCAGCCCAGGCACCAAACCTTAACCCTACCCCTAATCCTACCCCATAGCCTACCCCTAGCCCTACCCCTAACCCTACCCCTAACCCTAACCCTACCCCTAACCCTAGATGTGTAAGTGGGTGTGGTGGTTAGGGTCTGATGTCACACGTTCTTCATCAGTCCTACATAAAACATGAAAAACAAAGGAAACAAAATAGAGCTCTCTGATAAGATGAGTGGTTAAATATTAAATAGAAACCATAAATATTTGGAAGCAGTAGGACCGCTCTACATTTACAGCAT